ATATAATTACTACGATAATACTGATTATTTTCATTATTACTATTGTTATATCATTATCATTATCATCATCATTATCATCATCACCATCATCATTATTATCATTACTATTATCATTATCATCATAGATAATTTTTTATCTATTGTTATTATTAATATTACACTGCCATTATCATCACATCATCATCATCATTATCATTATTATCATCATTATTATAATCATTATCATTATTATTATTGTAAAAATAATAATAATGACAACTACAACAACAGCAACAATAATAATAATAATAATAATAATTTTTATTATTATTATTATTATTATTTTATTGTTATTATTATTATTATAATTACTATTGTTATTAATACCCGTATTATTGTCACTATCATTGTTGTTGTCATTATTATTATAATGATTATTATAATTATTATATTATCATTATCTTAACTATTACTTTGACTTTCTTCATTGATATCAACATCATCGTTATCATTGCTACTATTATCATTATCATTATTATTATTATCATTATCATTATTATAACTATTATTATTGTTGTTATTATTATTATATTATTATTATTATTATTATTATTATTATTATTATTATTATTATTATTATTATTATTATTATTATTATTATTACTTTTGTTGTTTTCATCATTATCATCATAATTTTTATTAGCATTATTATTATTGTTATAATTGTTACTACTATTATGATAGTTATTATTATTACTATTATTTTTCATTATCAAAGTTATCATTACTATTGTTATTATCATTACCATTATTATTATCATCATCATTATTATTGTTGTTGTAGTTGTAGTTGTTTTTGCATTATCATCATTATCTTATCATTGATAGAATCTCCATTTTAATAAATTATAATAACAATTGTATAAACAATAATGTTACTAATTATGTTAATGAGGATAATAATAATGTTAATAATAATATTAATGATAATGATTTCATCATTACCTATATTATTAGTAACATCATCATCATCATTCTTATTCCTATTCTTATTATTGTCACTATTGTTATCATTATTACCATTATCATTATCATAATTATTATTATTATTATTATTATTATTATTATTATTATTTTTTATTGCTATTATTATTATTATCTTTTATTGTTATTATCATTATTATTATTATTATCACAACTTTAATTATCATTTATTATTGTCATAATTGTTATCATTGTTATCATTACCATTACTATTATCGTTATCATGATTATAATAATTATCATTATTATTATTACTATCATTACTTTTATAATAATAATAATTGTATTATCATTATTATTAAGAATTCTTATCACTGTTATTATGATTTATATTATAACTATTTCGTTACTATTAGTAGTAGAAGTAGTAGTTGTGTCATTATTATTACTATTAGTATTATCATTATTATGATTATTATCATCATCATCATCCTTATTATCATCATTATCTTACATTGGTTAGATTATTATCATTATCAGTATTATTATTATTTATCATCATAACCATAATTATTATTATCATTATTATCATTAATGTCATAATTATTATCAAATTTATAATTTCATTCATTGTTATTATGATTATTATCATTATTTTTATCAATGTCATTATAATGATTATTGATATTATCATTTTATTAACTATTATTATGATTATTATTATCATTGTTATTGTTATTATTAGCATCATTATTATAATCTTTTTATCATCATCATCAGCATTATCATCATCACCATTATAATTATTATTATTATTATTATTATTATTATTATTATATCACCATCACCATTACTATTATCATCATTGTTATTATTATTATCTTTATTACTGTTATTATTATTACTATTATTATCATTACTGTTAGTGATATCATATTTGTTATTGTCATGATTTTTGTTATAACTATAATCATTATTATTGTTACTGTTATCATTATTATGATCATCATTAACATTATTATTATTATTTCCATTATCATTACTACTGCTGCTGCTACTATTACTATGAATATCATTATTGTTGTTATTATTATTATAATTATTATCATGGTTATTTTTATTATCATTGTTATTTTTTTGTTTTTGATATTGCTATTATTATTGTTATCATTGTCATTATTACTAATGCTATCATCATTATCATCTTCGTCAATACTGTACTATTATTTTTTTTATCAGTGGCTATAAAAATTATAACATGTTTATGATGTTTATTGTGGTTCGAGTCGAATGAATTAATGCATATAAAAGAGAGATTGCAAGAATGGGAATTAAATATAGGTACATGATTTGTGTAAAGTGGTCTAGAATGTCACTTATAAGATACTGACATAGATATAATACGAATGAAGTAGGCTTACAGACAAAACCGTTGGTATGATCAGTTTAATGATGTTTGATATGATTGAATATTTAGGTCTCTTTCCACTCAGTCTTAAAATTCTACAGCACTGTATGTTGATGCTGTAGAGAGGACTGCTTTTAATCTTCATCATTCTGAGTGTTGGAAAACCCGAAACTTTCGCGTGATCCTTGTTCCTGTACCCAGTGAACTCCAGAACCGGTCCTGTGTCTAATTCATGCTTTTGCTTCAGCCGAAAGGATATTCTGCAATAGGCGGCGTGTAATCGATTGGTTGAATGATTGATTGATTTTTTTTTTAGGATTTATTGTTTATTTTCTATGTGTTCTTCCATATAGTCTGTAGAGTTATGCTGAAATGTAACTGGCGGACTGTGATGAAAATTTATAGGTAGGTTGCCAAAACGCAAGGGAATAGTTGGTTAGGATGGTGAACTGGATCTAAGTACGACTGGTGAATTTAAAATCACTTTGGCGTGGTATAGAAAATGGGTCTTGGAAAATTTGTCTCCTTTTAAAATATTGTACATAAGATACTTTCTCATTTTACTTATCCCCATTCTCTACGTGTACGCTTAGGCAACTGTGTACGCCACGTGTAAATATCGCAATTTTCACCTCCCTCTAAAATGATACACTCCCTAATGTCGAAAAGAGTAGGAAAATAACCGCCACTGACGTCACAGTTTCCCCAGAAGGATGACATCAGCTGGGACAGTCCGATTGTTAGGTAGCAGAAACCCGCAATTACCCTCATCCTCTTCTCTCGCTCACCTGTCCAGGGATCTGCTTGTTTTCATCTATAGGGATTTTTTTTTTTTTTTTTTTTTTTTTGATCTGCTTGTTTTCATCTATAGGGATTTTTTTTTTCGTTTTTGTTTTTGATCTTGTTTTCATCTATAGGGATTTTTTCTTCCTCTTTTTTATCTTGTTTTCATCTATAGGGATTTTTTTCTTTTTTTGTTTTTTGATCTGCTTGTTTTCATCTATAGGGATTTTTTTTCTTTCCTTTTTTGACCTTGTTTTGTTATATGTATTTTTGTCGTCGTTCTCTTTCGGGAATGGGCTTGCGAGTGTTTTATGAGGGTTAGTGTATTTCGAGCTTGACCTGTATATATGTTGGGGAAGAAAAGGGGGAATATCTCTTGCTTTGTTGGAGGTGGTGTACGGATGGTGTGTGTATAAGAGAGTGAGAGACAGACAGACACATACACAGACAAACGGAGACATCGGAAGAAAAAGGAAGAGAGAGAGAGAGAGAAGAGAGGCAGATAGGCAAACAGACTGAGACAGAAGCAGACAGACGGACAGACAGACAAGACAGACAGACAGACAGACAGACAGAGGCAGAGACAGAGAGAGAAAAGACATAGAGAAGAGAAAGACAGAGACAAAGACGTTCCCCAAAGTATAGCCTCAGATTTTTATCCTAGCCTGCGTATGTGTCTGCACGTCAATCTTCGTAAAAAAAAACATACTACAACAATACACTTACACAATGAGTTAATTCTACAGTATAAATGACTCTACACAACAAAGTCAACATTCGCATACATCATAAGCTTGAAACACGTCCACGCAATTATGTCAACCTAAAAAAAAAAAAAAAAAAAAAAAAAAAAAAAAAAAAAAAAAAATACAATAGCATACATGATGCAGGTACACTGCGTCACGCTCGTTTAGACTGAAAATGACAATACTTTTGCTTCTTGCGGTGACAAAAAAGTCAAAGTATTTTCCTATAATATTCGCGAGCACTTTGTCCACTTTGCTGCATCATGTATCCTGTTACAGTATCCTTGTTTTTTCTTATTGTGATCTATTTATTTCCCTTTTTTCTTCCTTTGTTCATTATTCAATTATCTTGTTATTCCAGATTTTATTTATGTATATATTGTTTATGTATACTTTCTGTTAAATATGTTAGTTACCCCTGATGCTCAGAACACTACGTTTTCTGTGTTTACCCTCAGTTCCTTTGTTTTTATTTCTTCGTTAAAGAATATCTATATTTTTGTTGAGTAGAATACATATTTTTCTGAATTTGAATTAGAGAAATACTATATTTTAATGTAGTTTTATATCAGAGAAAAGGTACTTATTTTCCACATATATTTTTATGTATGAATACTCGTTGCAATAAAGGCCACTACGTGGCACTGCCAGGTCAGCACTGTTTCAGTCAACAACCCCCAGCCCTTTGATCCTGCTTCTACATCATGTTTTGTTACCAAGTGTGGGTCTCGTGAGGCCGTTTCCCACATTTTTTGGTGCCCAGACCCGGGAAGCTTTAGATATAGAGTCGTCGCCCGGACAAGTAAGGTAACAAACATGGCAGAGTCACTTGAAGCTTTGAAGAGGAAAAGGGCTGCATCAAGAGGTTGGTTGACAAGAGCTGTACAGAACCTCCAGGAGGTTTTAAATGATAACAACAGTAATTATGAGAAGTTAGATCAAGTTGCTGCTGAATTTGATAAGAGGCTAATATTGTTGGATGAGGCGCAGACAGCTGTTGAAGTAGAACTTGTTAATCCTGATGATTTAGATGCAGACCTTGATGAGGCAAATAATTTTCGTAAAGCTGCACAAATGTTAGATTTGAGGTCACCATGCGAATGAAGAGAGCTAATGATGGCAGTGACAGTGACAAAGGCTCTGTCTCCAGTATGAGCACCTCAGATGCAAAGCTGCCAAAGCTAGAGCTTCCCAAATATGATGGTGATCTGACCCAATGGCAGTCATTTTGGGATAGATTTACAGCCTCAATAGACAGGACTGACATACCTGTTATTACTAAGTTCACTTATTTACAATCAGTGTTACAAGGAAAAGCATTGTCTGCCATCCGAGGAGTAACACTCACTGTTCCAAATTACAAGGTTGCATGTGATATATTGAAGAACAGATTTGGCCGACCTCAAATAATCATAAATGCACATATTCATGCACTAATGAATATCTCTGTAGCTCCTAAAATAAGAGGAGCAAATTATGTTGAATCGCTGTGGAATCTTCTAGACCAGCTCCATTGGCATGTAAGAAGTTTGGAGAGCTTTGGCATTAATAATAAACAATTTGGCGTGGTGTTAACTCCATTGGTCTTGGGTCGTCTGCCTCAAGAGATAAGATTGGAATGGTCAAGGGAATCTACAAATCATGAAGTGACCTGGAATGGCTGCTGACGTTCCTGCAGAAGGAGATAAGCCGTCGAGAGAGATCTGAAACTTTCCCGGACGTTGGGATGGGGAAGCCTGAACGACGATTTGTGGACTCGGAGAAAAGGAGTGCCTTGCATCGGCTCTTCACACCTCATCTGAAGTAGGATTTTCTTATTGTGCTTTCTGCAGCAAGAAACACAAGTCTGAGAAGTGCTGGGATATCCTGAAGCTCCCTTTGAAGGAACGTGAAGAAAAAATCAAAGCTGCCCATTTGTGTTTCAAGTGTTTGAGTAAGGGGCATATTTCCAGTGGTTGTCAAAGCAAGTGTTCTAAGTGTAATGGCAATCATAATTTTCTTCTGTGTAGATCAAAGGGTGCAGGAAGCACAGAAAAGGCTATGGAAAAAAGTGTGAGTGATCAGAAGGTTAGTGATATTGTAGAACCTTCTGAAAATTGCAGTCCCCAAGTGAATCATGTTGGTGTGACTCTTAGCAAGTGTAATGTGTTGACGAAGACTAGCTGTGTGCTACAGACAGCTAGAGTTAAAGTGTTTGGCGAGTCAGGTGCTTGTTGTGAAGCCACCTTGTTGTTTGATACAGGCTCTGATAGATCTTATGTGTCCAGTAATCTTGTGAAGAAAGTTAAGCCCAAGGGTGAGCTCAGAACCTGTGTCATATGCTGCTTTTGGAGGTAGTAAGTCTCCTCCAGGTAAACAGAGTAATATTTTTGACTTGCAATTAGTAGGTTTACATGGTGCAAAACATTTAATGGCTTTAGAGATTCCAAAGGTTTGTGCACCATTGACTAGACCCTGTATTCCTAGTAATTTGGTTGATGCATTTTCTGATTTTCAACTTGCTGATGATTACAAGAATAATAGTCACCTGAATATAGATATACTTGTAGGTTTGGATGCTTATTGGGGATTTATGTATCCTGAAATTAAGCCACATCAGAGTAATGGATTAGTAGCCCAAAAGTCTGTATTTGGTTGGGTGTTATCTGGTTCATGGAAGGTTCCTACTATCAGCAACTGTGAGTCTACACAAATGTTGTGTATAGGAAATGTGACAGATTCTGATTTACGTGAGTTTTGGGATTTAGAATCTGTTGGCATAACTCAAAAGGAAGCTGTTCCTAGCCCATTTACCTCAGACCCTGTTTTGAAGCAATTTTGTGAAAATGTTAAGTTTGATGAGGGACGCTATGAAGTAGGCTTACCTTGGAAGTCAGATGACTGCAAGAAGAATCTTATGAATAATGAGGGAATTGCTAGGAAAAGGTTGCAAGGATTAGGGCGTAAGTTAGATAAGGACCCAGAGCTTCAGAAACAATATTCTAACGTGTTTACTGATTATGAACAAGAGGGAATAATTGAAGAAGTCCCTTCAAGTGAAGTTGTAAGTTCTCAGCCTACATATTATATGCCTCATCGTCCAGTTGTCAAAGAGAGTAGTTCTTCAACTAAGGTCAGACCAGTTTTTGATGCTTCTGCAACTAGTTATAATGGCACTTCTTTAAATGATTGTCTTGAGTCTGGTCCTTCACTTAACGCTGATCTTGTGAAAGTATTGGTTCGTTTCAGAAAGTGGAAGGTTGCATTGACTGCTGATATTACAAAGGCATTCTTGCAGATTTGTGTTCGGCCAGAAGACCGAGATGTTCATCGCTTTTTGTGGGCAAAGGACTGCTGAGGTTTGTTCGTGTTCCCTTTGGTAACACAAGTAGCCCATTTTTGCTAAATGCCACCATTAAATACCACTTACAGTCTTATCCTGATACTGAAGTAGTAAAAGAGTTAAAGGAAAACCTTTACGTAGATGATTGGCTGTCAGGGGCGGACACTGCTGAGGAAGCTTGTGAGAAGTTTAAAGAAGCTCAAAGTATTTTGGCTGAAGCTGGGTTCCCTCTTTCTAAATGGCACTCAAATTGTAAGTTGTTTGCCACAAAGTTTAATGATAAAATTGATCATAGTGATGAACATGAATCCACAAAGGTTTTAGGTATGAAATGGTTATCCTTGTCAGATCAGTTTGTTTTTGAAGGTATTGATTTAGACCTGGAGACACATTTGGTGTCAACCAAAAGAGCAATTCTTAGTCTCATAGCCAGGCTTTTTGACCCACTTGGTTTGATTAGTCCCTTTGTCATGTATGCTAAAATCCTCTTTCAAGACATATGGAGACTTGGGCTTGATTGGGATGAGTTACTACCTAAAGAGGTGCAAAATAAGTTTCAGAATTGGGTTAAGAGCATTGCTGCTCTAAAATATTGGAAGATTAATCGTTGCTATTTCCCAGAAATGCCCTGGAAAGAGTTGTCTGGTTTAGAACTCCATGCCTTTGGTGATGCTTCAGAGAAAGGGTATGGAGCTTGCGTGTACTTGAGAGTTCCTCTTGTGGATGGAACATACCAGGTGTCATTAGTGGTAGCAAGGTCAAGGGTAGCACCTATAAGAGGGTCACTTACCTCGACTAGAATTGCTTGGTGCTTTACTTTGTGCTAGACTCTTAGATTTTGTGAAGTCTGCCCTCTGTCTCGATAAGACTGTGACTTATTGTTGTTGGACAGACTCAAAGGTTGCTCTTGCATGGATAAAGGGTAATCCTTGTAGATGGAAGGTGTTTGTGTCAAATAGAGTTGTTGAAATTCAGAGTCTTACCTCCCCATGCCACTGGTACCATTGCCCAGGTAAAGAAAATCCTGCTGATCTTGTGTCTAGAGGGGAGTTAGCCGAACCCCTTGTTAATTCTACTTTTGGATAAATGGCCCTTCTTGGTTGTCTGAACCTTTAACTCTAAGTGATAAAGGAGAAACTGTAGAGTTACCTGTTGAAGAAAGTTGCAGTAAAGGAAATATTTCTTGTGTATCTGTAAACTCTCCTAACATATTTGAGTTTGAGAGATGGAGTAACTTCAATAAGGCACGTTGTGTGTGGCTTGGGTTATGAGATTTATTAATAATGTCCGACCTCATTCTGTGAAGATGTCAGGTCCCTTGTCTCCTGCTGAGTTAGCAGTGGCCAAGACCAAATTGTTCTACTGTGTACAGAGAGAGAATTTTGTTCAGGAAATTGCAGACTTGAAAAAGGGTAAATCTCCTTCAAAGGGTTCTCCTTTGTGTAGTTTAGATCCTTTTGTAGATGATGAAGGCCTATTGAGAATTAAGGGACGTTTGGAGAATGCTGATTTAAGTTTTGAAAGTAAACATCCTGTTATTATTCCTTCAGGTCATGTTGCTAAGCTCTTGGTTCAATTTCAGCATATTTTTCTGAAGCATGCTGGAGTAGGGACCATTGTGTCTACTTTAAGAGGCAGCTACAGGATTTTGGGAGTCAGGAGAATTGCTAAAACTGTTTGTAGAATGTGTGTTAAGTGTAAAAGGTATGTAAGGCTTGTAGTCAGCCTGCTGCACCTCTACCAGGATTAAGAGTTAAGATTGCTCCTCCCTTCACTGTGACAGGTCTTGATTATGCTGGTCCTCTCTTTTGTATTGATTTGCCTTCAAAGAAATTGTACATTTTGTTGTGTTTATTCATTGTTCATCCATAGAGGTTGGTGGGAGCGTTTGATTAGGTCTGTTAAGTCAGCTTTGAGGAAAACAATAGGGGTTAAATGTTTGTCAAAAATTGAGTTAGAGACCACCATTCAAGAAATTGAGGCTTGTGTGAATTCTAGACCCTTAACATATGTTGGAGATGAACCTGATGTTTCTAATCCTTTGACTCCCTCACAATTTCTCATTGGACGTAATGCTGGACTTCAACTCGAGGTTAATGATCAACCTTCATGTATCACCGGAAAGGATTTGATTATCCGAGAAAGTATTCGCCAGCAACAACTTGATAAGTTTTGGAAATTATGGAGCAATGATTATCTAAGAAACTTGCCACCTGTTGTGAAGGGATTTGTGCAAAAATGTAATGTAAAGAAAGGTGCTATTGTCCTTGTCAGAGAAGACTATGTTCCTAGGCTAAAATGGCCATTAGGTGTTGTAACAGAAGTATTCCCAGGTAATGATAATATCATTAGGAGTGTCATGGTAAAAACTGACAAAGGAGTATTTAATAGACCAGTGCAGAAGTTGCATGATCTTGAAATGTATAGTGATCTTTATGAAGATTCTGATGAAGATTTGAGAGAATCTATCTCAGGGGAAATTGTTAAATCATCAGTTCCTGGAAACAATGAAAATAGTGCCTCTGAACCTTGTGAAGAGAGCTGTTTAAACCCTACTTCCTTTAGTCAACGGGGTCGTGCCATAAAACACCCAAATAAACTTGACTTGTAATAATATGCAGTATTTAGTTTAGTTGTTCTTATTTCTTAAGGTTGAAATTAAGATAAGTTTGTGAGTTTTATAGTATATCTGAGTTTATTGAAGCAAATTCCAAGGAGAAATCTGTCCTACTACTATTTCTCAGGATTTAGTCTATGATAGGAGTAAGTACTCCTATGGTGGGGAGTATGTTAAATATGTTAGTTACCCCTTGATGCTCAGAACACTTACGTTTTCTGTGTTTACCCTCAGTTCCTTTGTTTTTATTTCTTCGTTAAAGAATATCTATATTTTTGTTGAGTAGAATACATATTTTTCTGAATTTGAATTAGAGAAATACTATATTTTAATGTAGTTTTATATCAGAGAAAAAGTGCTTATTTTCCACATATATTTTTATGTATGAATACTCGTAGCAATAAAGGTCACTACGTGGCACTGCCAGGTCAGCACTGTTTCAGTCAACATACCCCAGCCCTTTGATTCTGCTTCTACATCATGTTTTGTTACCAAGTGTGGGTCTCGTGAGGCCGTTTCCCACAAGGGATGTTCAGCTGTTGCCATGATGATAATAAGAATGATAATGATGAAAATAAAAATAATAATAGCATAATGATAATGATAGTTATAATAGTAATATCAATAATCATAATATAGTTATGAAAACATAATAGATACTAATGCTAAAACTGATAAGAGCATAACAACAACAAGAGGTAATAGCATAAATAGTGATAATGATAAGTGTAATCACAACAGTGATGATAATAATACTAATTGTAACACCTGTCATACTAATAGAAATCAAAATGACAATGGTGATAACAATGACAGTAGTAGCTGTAGTGCTACTAATAATCATACTATTACCATTACTAAAAAAGATAACACTGGCATTAATGGTAAAAATAATACAAAGGATATTGATAATTAAAACGATGAAGTAGATGGTGATGGTGATGCTAGGATAAAGATGATGATATTTAGAATAGTAATAAAGTCAATTGTCATCATAGTAGGGATAGTGTATACTTATTATAAAAGTGTTACTTATAACGACTATGATGAAAGCGATAAGGGTAACGTTAATGATGATGGTCAATCTCTGGATATTTTCCACTCTCTCTCTCTAAATCTATTCCTCCTATTCTTCATAATGATGCTTATGATGGGTATATCAACTATGATAACAAAGGTAATGCAGGAAAATGAGGGAAAATAGTATAAGAGAGATATGGGTGGATTGAAAAGAAATCATTTGGTGACGATTGTAAATAAAGTTTGAAAATCAATTTTATAGGCTGGCAGCTAATAATACGAATTTCATATCAATGACAAGTTTCTCGCATCGTCTGTTTCTGTCTCTCTCCCTCTGTCTCTTAGTGAATAATTCATAACAAAAAACTTACCACGCAAAAACCTCCAAAATATCAAAGTAAGACTGATTGTACAGTTGCGATGAACACAAAACATATGTGTATGGTAAAAAAAAAGAACTTTATCCTAGAGTCCTTCCGTGAAAAAGTGCGCACGAGCAGTCAGAATGTGACGTTTTTAGGACGTCACAAACTAATGGCGTATGTCAGAGGCCAAAAAAAAGAATTGGCAGGGTTAACGAAACCACACTAAGCAGCGTTAACACTAATCATCTGCGACTCAAATTATATATTCTGTAACTACATATATCAATGGCAGGGCGTGTCTCCTTTCACTCACTACAGCGCCTCTAAAATATGCAGAAACAGGGGAAGAACTAATCTGGAGAGGACAACCCTCCACAGCTGACCCCCTCCTGCGTCTGCCTGCCTGTGTGATTACACGTGAAGTAGTCAACGACTCAAGGCCTCCCTTGCGGGCAACAGGCGCGTGAGTTCAGTCATCTAGAAGCGAACTCAAAGGAAGTCGCCCGCGGCGGTGCTGAGACTGGGCTCACAAGCGTCGGCGCTGCTGGTCAAATTACCGAAAAGTCCATCTGGATCCTCACGGTAGATTATACAGCTCGAAGTAAAAATTGGAATTTTGAAACATTTTGTAGATTTGATACTACGATCGTCTTGATAGTAGTTTTAGTTAACATTCCATGTCAGCGATCAACAACAATTTCGCAGTATTTGGTGTACATTCAAATTCCTTTTAAATGAAATCGTTTTTATCATAAATTTCTTATAATTTTCTGTTGAAGTAACAGTTTATACCCAACCGCAGTACGTTTTCGAAAACATATAAATCAATATACAACTGTGTCGCTATGAAATTAGATACTTTCTCAGTAGTGCATGTTTAAAAGAATACTCATTTTAATAAACTTCAAAAAGATAATGTAATATATCAAATGTATCAATATAAACAATATATAACTGAAAAAATAGCTTCATGGGAAGAGAGAATAAAATGAAATGTGGACAAGAGATCTTATAAGGTGAATTACAACAGCTCATGAAACAAAACAAGAATTACACATCATACGGAGCAAAATTAAAGATATATGGTGAACACAGGATCCAGTTGTCATAATTCAATAGTAACATATAAATAGTATTTCACACCTTGGTAGCTATGCTATCTGGTGTGTCTACTTGTATATTTTATAGGTAATTATCAAGCTACTGTATAAAGAAAAATCTTTTCTCCTGTGAAATCGTATTTCTTATCTGAAGCAGGGACAGTGGAACAAAGATAACACTAATCAATATAAAACAAAAATTGCTTCTTTTGCCTTTTTCCTTCCTACCACCTTTCCTACTTCTCTTCGTCACTTCGTCCTTTTCTTCCTCCTCCCAGTCTTTGCTTCTCATATTACTTCTGAAAACGCGCATAAACACTAGCAAACAACTAAGCAAATCAAAGAATCCAAAATCACACTCAATTTCTTCATACTCCTTCGTATTGTAAACACCAGAGAAAGTGACAGAAACAAAAGTAGAAATATATATGGAACGGAAGGTAAATAGATAGAAATACAAACTATAATTCATACAAAAGACACTTGTGGTATCTTTTGGGGATTGAACTCAGGTCTGTCGCGTAGGTGACCGTGCTAACCACTACACTATAGAAATAATTGTTTTATATGTGGATTTTACTAGAATTACATTGTAGCTTTTATGTTATATTACATACGTACGTGTGTGTGTGTGTGTGTGTGTGTGTGTGTGTGTGTGTGTGTGTGTGTGTGTGTGTGTGTGTGTGTGTGTGTGTGTGTGTGTGTGTGTGTGCATACATATGTGTGTGTGGTGTGTGTGGTGTGTATGTGCTTCAACTTAAAGAGTAAGATGTCGTATTAAACATTATTGTATGCCTACCATTCCACTAAAATAAATCCAGTCGCAGAAGAATGAAATGAAGCTACCAACCTCCTTTACTACCTATCTTCCTTCCTACCTCACCTAAGTATTAAGATAGAGAGAAACCTTGGGATTTTTTTTTTAACTTATTTTGTTGGCATTCCCACTGCTGTGACCATTATCATTATTATCAATACTTTTCACAGACCCCTTAATCGACAATACCATTAGAATGCGTATTTCGAAATAACTAGTGGACCACATAGTTTATTTACAGGTGTTGCCATTCCCGTTTGCAATTCTACATTTATTAGTCGAAATTTGTGGTTAAAGGAGTCAGCAGTAATAAGTTATTAATACACCCCTCGATCACATATGATACGTACCTCTGTTCATTAATATTGGATAACTATGTTTTTAGATTGAGATGATGATAGTGATAACGATGATAATAAGAACAGTAATGATAATAGGGACAGAGAATTATGGTAATACTAGTAATGAAATTGAAAATCTTTCTCTCTCTCTCTCTCCAATTTGACGATCTGCACTAATTAGAAGAATAGCGAGAGAGAGAGAGAGAGAGAGAGAGAGTGATTTTGCAACGTATATTTTCCATCTTGTGCTCAGCTGAAGCCTGTCGTCGTGGAGTAACGAGCGAAAGAAGCGACGCAGCGAAGAGGCGGAATCGTGCGTCTTCCTGGTCGTTGCGTTGCGTTCGTGGGATCCGGTGTCGGGCGTCTGTCCGCGGCCGGAGGGAGGAGGCGCTGGACGCAGTGCAAAGTCCTGTCTTTACAGCGAGTGACATTAATATTGTTCACGCAATGTAGTTGGATTTAATATCAGTATTTTAAATTGACATAAACACACACACACACACACACACATACGTACGATCGCACAGACACACGCAAACACGCAAAAGATATAGATATTATTGGTAGAGAATACAGTTGTAGATATAGATACATAAACAGATGTGCACACACACATGAACAAGCACTCATACTGCACTCTGTCTCATTTAATTAGAACAGCAGGAAGGTGTGCGTGTGTGTGAGTTGGAGGCGAAGAAAAGGAGAGAAAAACGGGTCTTCTCTGGCGAAAGCATTTGATCTGCCGGCTTGTTCATCCGTCGAACGCGGCCTTTCCTTCCTGAATAATATTCATCTGCACTGTCTGTTTAAAACGGATTCAAGATCTGGGCAATTTCTAACTCATCCACGCGCACACACGCGCGCGCGCGCATTCCACTGGTATTCTGCTTTCTACGCTAATGTATGTTAATATCAACGATGGTAATGATTGCAACAGCACATATCCAACGAAAATTTCTCCTAGCATTCACTAAATACGTTTTTTTTTCTTTCTTTTTTATACGAGTTAAAATTGAAAAATCACTAATTGGATATGAATAGATAATTGATCTTTAAAGGATGTTCCTTTGTAATATAATAAGGTTTTTTAGCTGTTCACTTGACTGGACGGAATCATCCTTCGCCTGCGCTGCCGTCGCATCCCACGCAAATCCCTGGAGTGGCGTTGAGGTCAGAGAGAGAGGGGGGGTGAGGGGGTGGGGGAAATATCTTTTCTCCCTCTGCATAAATATGATGATTATTATCTTCATTTTTATACGACAGCTACAAGATGAAACTACATGCCTTATGCACAACAAGTGAAGTGAAAACAAAAGGTAGCGCCCGAAAAGGCAGAGGAAACCTGGAAACGAAGTGTAAAATCAGCAATGAAAATTATGCTTTTATATACGAGATTACATGTGTGTGTGTATGTGTGTATGTGTATTTAGACATAATATACCCAATCCTGTCGATTTGCACAAGTTGGCTACATCCCACATCAAGCAATTGACAGAATTGACAGGGAGGTAAACTGCTCCGGAAAACAGCCCCTTGACGGGCGGGAAGT